GGCTTGATGTGTTTCCTTCCTGTCAGTGTGCCTTGTGGACGTTTTCGTTCTTGAACTCCTTTTCGCAGTCTTCGCACCATATCGCATCAGGGGTGCTGGTTGTGTTTGTGCTGTTTGCGGCACCCTCGTTTTTCCATCCAGGAATCTCGTCCTTTTCCCAAGCCGCTTCAAAGTCCGTCTCGAAGCCCGCGAAGACCTTGTCGAGGTTTTCCAGAGGTCGTATCCGTCTCATGAAGGATTCAAGGTACGCTGATAAGTCACCGACGTATTTGAAGTATTGATCTGTCAGTTTGTCTCCTCGTTTCAGACCACCAAACCCTGGCGCAAAGTTGTCAAAGACCTCAAGGTATTGTAGGTACGTCAAGCGCTTGACGTTGGGCAGGTTCAGATAGGCCTCGTGGGACGTGTAGAGATCGAAGAAGCGTCCAAACGCCTCTTCACCGGAGAACAGGGAGTCGACAATGTAGGGCATGGGCGCATCGCCGGCCTTTGTCGCCCGATACCGAGCTTCCAAATTCTCCGCCTGTTCGTTGGGGTATTTGGCATGATGATCGCGAACGCCTTTCAGCTGGTTGTAAAACTGCTCAAACGGGTCGCCAGTGCTGAGTTGCTGGATTTCGCGGGAGAGGTGGCCGTCGGTATCCCGGTAGAAATCGAGGAGCTTGGAAGATTGCGCCGAGATCTGGTCCAGCAACTGGGCAACTTCATGGTCGCGATTCAATCGGTCGCGGATATGTTTCGGTTCCTCGTCAATCCGTTCAGAGATGCCCTGTTCGAGCCGCTCGAGGTCCTCGTGGATGTATCGCTGCTCCTCCAAAACCATGGTGTCGTCGGTTGCGTGCTGGGGGGGGAAGGCTGTGAGTGGTGTTGAAACGCGCCTCGAAAATTCGAGGCTACCAGCCGCGGAGAAGTGCTGGCTGCGCGCCCCCCAACAGGTACCTAGGAGGGCCCAGTGGACAAGGTTTAGCGCCGGCGTAGCTGAATTTCCGGCCGAGGATGCTCTGGAGTAGCCTGGAAAGCCGGCATGCGCAACCTCAGTAACTCATTCATGGGGATAATGTTGCAAGATTCTGATAAAAACGCTTCTCTTTATAATCAGCCAGGAAACTTCATGCGTAAGTCAAATTCACGGTTGCTTGGATAGAGTTTCTTGAAAGTGATGGTGCTTGAATATCAGGGTCAACCTGCAGCAGTGACGCTCATGACATGGCCCGTGCGCTCCATCCCAATCCAAAATTTTGGGTGGAGCCCTGGTTGTAGGTCTTGATCAAGCAATCGCGCGTTCCATCCAGCCTTGCGCTCTGTGTTCAACAACATCATCACACCTAACTCCCGAGACGCAGTAACAAACATCACCATGGCTGAAGGAAGCGGCATCGATAGGAAGGCGGAGGAGAGGATGGAATTCTCCACCTCCAAGGAGGTGACTGTCCATCCCACATTCGAGTCCATGTCTCTCAAGGGTAAGCTGACTGACAATGCCCCTCGCCACGAGCACAGCAACCTCGTCCAGGCAACCTGCTAACATAAGCCCCCCCCAGAGAACCTTCTCCGCGGCATCTACGCCTATGGCTACGAATCCCCCTCAGCTGTCCAGTCTCGCGCCATTGTCCAGGTCTGCAAGGGCCGCGACACAATCGCCCAAGCCCAGTCTGGCACGGGTAAGACAGCCACCTTCTCGATCAGCATGCTCCAGGTCATCGACACGGCCGTCCGCGAATCGCAAGCCCTCGTCCTGTCTCCCACGCGCGAACTTGCGACCCAGATTCAGTCCGTCGTCATGGCTCTCGGCGACTACATGAATGTTCAGTGCCATGCTTGCATCGGCGGCACCAATGTCGGCGAGGACATTCGCAAGCTGGACTATGGTCAACATATCGTGTCTGGCACACCCGGTCGCGTCGCCGACATGATCCGTCGTCGCGACTTGCGCACCCGTCACATCAAAATGCTCGTTCTCGACGAGGCCGACGAGCTGCTCAACCGCGGTTTCCGGGAGCAGATCTACGATGTGTATCGCTACCTCCCGCCCGCGACCCAGGTCGTCGTCGTCAGCGCCACGCTGCCGTATGATGTCCTCGACATGACCACCAAGTTCATGACCGATCCTGTGCGCATCCTTGTCAAGCGTGACGAGCTGACCCTTGAGGGTCTCAAGCAATACTTCATCGCTGTCGAGAAGGAGGACTGGAAATTCGACACCCTTTGCGATCTTTACGATACCCTGACCATCACACAGGCCGTCATCTTCTGCAACACCCGTCGCAAGGTTGACTGGCTGACGGACAAGATGCGCGAGGCCAACTTTACCGTGAGCAGCATGCACGGCGACATGCCGCAGAAGGAGCGCGACAGCATTATGCAGGACTTCCGCCAGGGCAACAGCCGTGTGCTCATCTCGACCGATGTCTGGGCGCGTGGTATCGACGTGCAGCAGGTCAGCTTGGTCATCAACTACGATTTGCCGAGCAACCGTGAGAACTACATCCACCGTATTGGTCGTAGCGGCCGCTTTGGTCGCAAGGGTGTCGCCATCAACTTTGTTACCAGCGAAGATGTGCGTATCCTGCGTGATATCGAGTGTAAGTGAAACCTTCCTTTGGAAAGCGCAACGCGAGCTCATGGACTAATCTTGGCCCAGTGTACTACTCGACTCAGATCGACGAGATGCCCATGAACGTGGCCGATCTCATCTCTTGATCCTGCTATGTGGTCTGTCATTTACAGCTACCGGCGTTAGGCGTCTGCGGATAGCATCGCGCAAAGCCAGAAAAAAGACTAGGCCGGCGGGAAGACGCCGGCCAGGAGCAGTGGAGGAAGGGGGCCCTGGCCAACATGAAGTGAGTGCAGCCATGCGACCCTAACAATAGCCATGCGAAAGACCCAATACTGACAGATTCGCATCATAGGCCAGGGGGGTAACAAGATTGCACCAAACAAAATCACGACTGTAGGAGGCCCCAGCGCAACACACATCGCGATTGAGAGCCGTCAAGGTGCTTTGGGGGGGGTCGCACCGGGCCTAATTGGAGCTGCGTCTTCGATGCGCTCGATTTTGAAATCTGATAGTGTGGTAATTGATGATTTGACTTTGGCCAAACGGCGGCAAACACCGCCTTCTTCACTCAATAGTGACAAGACGGGTGCAAAACGCGTCAATGGTAGGCTGTAGTTTGGACCCGGAAGACGAAATCCCTGTCTTCCGGCTCCCCGGTGACCAGGATGCGTGCCTGGAGATGGGAAACTTGACTGGTCAGCTTTGGTGATCTCGGAAGCTTGAGCCAGGCCATCCGGCTTGGAAAGCTGAGGTACGGTGAGGTATGGCAGACTGGCATTTCCAGTGCCTTGATCTGCCAGCGATGCGCCATGAGCGATGGCGGGATTTCCAGGCACCGTTGGCCCGTTTCGGGCTGCTGCCTGCCCCCAAGTCCACTGCGTCGTAAGGCGCCCACCTTCCCCCACAGCACTCACTGCCTTAACTTACCACAAGGCACCAGCTACCTCGGTATCTACTGCTTAGGAAGCTTTAGTACCAAGAAGTCAAACCTCCATCATGCAACTGCCGTGGAATCCTCAACACAACTTCACGCGACACGCGGCCGTATTTCCATCCAGATCCGTCATTTTCTCGTCACTCTTATCCTTGAACGTTGTATCACCATACAATGAACCACACATCCTGGTTAGTGGCCGACCCTGCAGAGTTGGCAACGTGCCATGGATGAGGCATCGCCCGAGCTACATACACCAAGCGAATCTGCCAAGCCAGATCCAGAGCCATCACGCGACGGTCTCACCAGCATGTGGTCTCAGGTCTCATCTTCAGTATACGTAGCACTCGGGTCACCAGCGCCAAGATGAACATTCTCATCAGTACGGAAGCGGCGGCTACTGGGAAAGATCAATAACCTCGGGAATCCACCGGGCCCTTTCCGTGGCGTCGGTAGACCACCATAACGTGGCTACACAACTCGATCGCGAGTCCACAGGACTTGACCAAATACGCCATGGCAAACACATTTAGGGAGACATCCCTCCAGCCTTCGCGTACCACCTGCCTGCCGGCCAACAAAACTCTCAGGCTGTTCCCTTGATGCAACAATAGAGTGCAACATTTCCGAGGGGGTGAAGCAACCACGTCCCAAACGAACACGAGCAGGGATCTTTCTTTTGGTGTGCAAAGCTCGCGTCCAAGCGTCCCAACCCACCCCTGAGGGTGGACATGCTTCTTCCGCCAGTCGGCTGATCACATCTCGCAGGCTGGTGGCGCCTCTGCGATCCTGGTATTCGCCCGTCCATCAGTTCTGGATCTTCAGCTCCTGGGGCGTGAAGGTCCTTTTTCCCGGTATTTCTTTTCTCAATGCCGCTCTTGTTGCCACGGATCGATCATTAGCGTTTGGGCGCAGCGGGCGAGGGCGGCCCGCCGTTACCCTTGGGCACCGCGCTGTTGGGCCTTGGGGTTTGCGACCTGCTGGGACCTACAGGGAGAACGATAATAATACACCGCATGCCCAGGTCGACCCTCAGAGGCTCTTATTCTTTGATGCTGGCCCGTTTTACGTCGATGTCTGCCCAAAGGTCGCTGCCGAATCTGACTTGCCTTCACCGACCGTATCGTATCGGTCTTCTGTCTTCAAGTTGGCCTTACTCAAACTGCTAATGGCCGCCATGATGAAGATGCCCTGACATCCCGCCCACCACGAAGCAACAACCGCCAAAAGCCTGACCTCCGGTCCTCGAGGATGCTACCGCCTCCGATCGATGGAAATTCGAAAGATGCGGGCATTCACAATTATGATGGAGTATTTGACACCACCAATACGACCGCCATTCCGTCCTGGTTGGCGGGTCTGCCTCCCGGACCTGACCACTTCAAGGGACAGTCCGTAGTCCCGGTGGCGGTCGTCACAGGAGTCGTTGCTGCGCTGTTAGTTGGCCTGCGTTTCTACACGAGGGCCAGAATACTGCGCGCAGTCCACCTGGACGACTGGCTTATTCTTCTCTCCCTTGTCCTCGGTCTGGGAACGAGCGCCACCATGATAACTCGTCAGTCGGCCGGCCGTGCGTTCCCTTCCATTGCTAATGATCGTGTCAGAACTCAGTCTGGGCTTGGGCCGTCATTTTTACTACGTCAGCGACAGCTTCAGTGATTATCTCAAATCCGGGCTCGCCGCGAGCCTCCTGTACACCGCTAGCCTCTTCTCGACCAAGGTCTCCATTCTCTGTCTTTACATCAGGATATTCTCGTATCAGGGAGTCCAACTTCTGAGCAAGATGCTGCTTGCGATCGTCGTCATCTCCCATACGTGGATTATCACGAGCATCCTGACGACTTGCGTTCCTCTTGATTCCATATGGATCATTGAGAAGAAACCGTCATTCTGTCACAGTTTCAACGTCTTCTGGGCTAACGCCGGCCTCAATATGGCTACCGATCTTTTAATTTTCCTTCTACCCCTTCCTGTAATATTCAAGCTTCGACTGCCTCGACGTCAGAAGTACAGCCTGTATTTCGTCTTTCTCCTTGCTTTTGGGTAGGAAAGGTCCCCTGCCTCTTGACGAGTGATCACTGACATGGCTCCCAGCGTCTGTGTCATCTCTGTCGTTCGCCTGACGAATCTCTTGAAGCACGAAGACCCGTTATACTTCTTCATGGACGTTACCTGGACCGCCGTCCCGATCGCCAACCTAAACTGCATCGAAGTGCACACGGCCATCGTTTGCGCCTGCCTCACGACCATCAAGCCTTTACTGGTGCAATGGTTCCCCTTCTTGCTGTCCTCTCGGCCACCGGCGAGCCCAATGACATATCCCGTACCACGCTACGACAGACCTCTCACGATCGGCACTCAGATCACGCGACATATTCGACCTCCCCGTTACTCCTTTGTCAGTTCAGTCCACACGAGTGACTTTAAATACGATACCACCGACGAGGGCGACAGCCAACTTCAGCTCCCCATCTTTGCGCCAGGCGACGGGGATGGCCGGTTTGGGGGCAACAATAGCTACCATCTGGTGGATCTTGAAAGAGACGGGAGCCTTCAAGACGAAAGGGGATCTTCTTCGAGGCCAACCAGCTCGAGACCATCTAGCTGGCCAATACAGTCATTGCCGCCACGGGCGATTACACCAGAATGGCCACTCAAGTCACCAACGTCACGCAGCGGGTTGATCGAGGAGCGAGAAAGCGAAGAGATTATTGCGGTGCCAGAAATTACCTATTTACGAGAGGGCCGTCTTTCTCATGAAGTCTTGCAAGAATATGGCCATGCAAGAACAAACATGCACGGATGGATTTGAAGACGGACCTTCTTGCCTCGAGATACGAAAGCTCTCGGAAGCCCCCAAAGAACGAAATCTCGACTTCAGAAAGAGCCGGACAGTGACGAAACACAGGGCGAGGATTTCTCCATCACAGCTGATACTCATGTCGGCCCACAACGACCCGGAGCCCGCAGCCTCCATCATCCCGGTCCCGGAGTCGAGCACGCGATACCACGGACGAAAATGCCCGACAGCCGTCCGACAACCGAAGACAAAGATCGGCTGGTGTACCGCGGCGGATTCTCAGTGGTTCTCACCACGTGGGGGTCGGGGATTCATTCTCCCGTCGTGATCGCTGCCAAAATGGCACCACTGATATCCCCGCATCGTGCCGACACGAATGCACGCCATTTGATTGATCCAGCAACCATATTCGCGGGGGATGGTTAATTCCAGAATGCGGGCAACCATTTCTTGGCTCGACTCCTTATCAGCCTCGCAAATGTCATCATTGAAAATCGGGGGAGCGATGTCGCAGCGTTTGGCAGAAAGCCATCGTTTCGGCGTGATTATCAACCCAAGGCAACAGCTGTCCGAGGCCGAGGCTGGCGTTCCGTAGTCTTATTGATTGGATCGCCGCTTGAAGCGGTTGAATGATGCAAGTGGCAGAATACATGCGGTCGATCACGTAATGCTACGCGGTCATTTGGAGATGATTGAGAGGATCATCAATGTGTGGGAGGGGACATAGTAAGTGAGGGGTCATGGCATCCCAAGCATAAATGAAGCGATACCCATTTGACGAGAGAGTGTGAATGGCCTGGATAGACAGCATTAAGGATAGTCAAGACATTTCCAAACACATACAATATCTCTGAGGTACTTCGAGCAACCGCAAACATGGCACCGTCAGCCACAGAGACAGCCCCGGCCAAGAATGAAGTCGATGATATCCAGGTGAAGAAGCTGGCCATCAGCGAGAAACCTGCTGCGCCCGGCTTGGAGCAGACAGAGGAGCCGCTGCCCGAGCTGCGGACTGGCCACCGCGAAGCCCTGAAACTCAGTGGTGCCCTCGACAAGTACGAGCACATCGAGGTGACGCCCGTCATTGGTCGAGAGTACGTCAACGTAAACCTGGCCGAGCTGCTCAGGGCACCCAACTCTGACGATCTCATCCGTGACCTGGCCATTACAGGCAAGTCTGCCTTCTCTCCGTCTCGCTTTCTCAGCATGCATGTTGGGGCTGACCCGTGACGCATAGTCTCGCAACGCGGTGTCGTCTTTTTCCGCAAGCAGGATGACGTGACGAATGATCTCCAGAAAGAGCTTGTCCAGCGTCTGGGCGAGCTCTCGGGCAAGCCATCGACATCGAAGCTGCATATCCACCCGATCAACAACGCAGGCCGCGGCGATGACAAGGACGACGAGATCAGCGTCATCTCGAGCGAGCAGGCCAAGAGGCTCTACCTGCATCGATTCCTCAACTACAACAAGAAGCAGAGCCAGAAGTCGCAGTGGCACTCGGATATCACGTTCGAGCCCATTCCGAGCGATTATCCCTGCTCCGACTTACCCAGTTGCCCGAGACGGGCGGTGGTGAGCTCCAATTTTTTTTCGTTCCTCATCCTACTCAACCCTCACAGATCATGGAGCAATATCTTGGGCGAAGACCATCGCTGACATACGGCCAGACACGCTTTGGGCTTCGGGCTACGAAGTCTACGACCGCATCTCGGCGACCCTGCAGGGTTTCCTCGACAGCCTGACGGCGACGTACGCGCAGCCGGGATTCAACGAGGCGGCCGACAAGAACGGCTTCAAGATCTACAGCGCCGAGCGCGGCGCGCCCGAGAACGTCGGCGAGCTGCTCGAGGCGATCCACCCGGTCATCCGCACGAACCCCGTGACTGGCTGGAAGAGCGTCTTCGCCGTCGGCCACCACGTGCAGAAGATCAACGGACTCTCGGACGAGGAGTCGAAGCATTTCCTCGCGTGGTTCGTGCAGCTCATTGTCGAGAACCACGACCTGCAGGTGCGATACAAGTGGAAGGACGTCAACGACGTGGCCATCTGGGACAACCGGTCGGTGTACCACGCTGCCACGCCGGATTACCTGTTTGAGAACCTCGGAGAGAGGCAGGGGTCGAGGGCTGTGAGCTTGGGCGAGAGGCCTTATTTCGACCCCCAGAGCACTAGCCGTAGGGAGGCCATCAAGGCAGAAGTGCTTGCTGATGCTGGGCATGAGAAGGCGGCGCAGTGATGTTGCTATGGGGTCGTGGGGTTTCCTTTTCGTAATGTTTGGATGAGTAGGACATGCAGCGTGCAAACAGAACGCACAAATAAGATTATCTCAACCCGTGATGCCATGTTCAAGACGATTTTTTGTTAGCCCACGCAGGTGACTGAACAAGGCATGATATCGCCAACCCTGGCTCGTTTGGCATACCCTCACGGCACAACAATGCGAAGCTCAAGTCGCTCCGGTCCACCGTTCGGCCCTTCGACGAGAGTCATGAGCAGTTTCATGAGTACGTTCAACACAACGTTGTCAAGCTTGATATGTAGATCACAGAAAAGAAACGGAGTCCGGTTGGTTGCTTCGGGCCCCGAGATCAACGAAGGATCCTTCCCAATATTTATCTTTGGCGCACCCTTCGTCCAAAGACGTACCGACAACGTGAGTTCATCAGGCCGAAGCCCGTTAGCTGTGCTGTTGGCGGGTGGCCATTTCTATCTGAGGAGGGAAAGAGGAAAGCAAAAGCGAAGCTGGAGCAAAAAATCGCGACTTTGTTGCGAATTGCCAGATGGCCTGTGCGTGTTTCTGCAGGACTGGCACGTGATCAGCATCACGTGCTTCGTAGAGGTCGGGTGGACCCTTTGGATTAGGAAGTCATGGCAGGTGATTGGCCCCGGCTGCCGAGGAACCGAGGGCATTCCGCTGGATTTCGAGAGCTGCGCGGTTGACATCAACACTTTGCTGGTGATTGCTTGACTGTCATCGACTGATACCCGCGACGTCCTCTCGCCTGCTCCGCCTACCAACGCCCTCGACCGATCAATTACACTCGTCCACGATACCCCGATCTCTCAACAAGATGATTGCGCAAAGGGTGGGAGTGTCGGCCGCGCGCCGAGGTGCGTTCCCTACCCCCCTCCCGAATCTGATGGCCGCACTTGTAGCATCGCGAGCAGCCTCATTGGAGCCACCCGAAAGAGCCTTACGAATGTCGAGCTAACCTCTTCCGCCAGCTGTGGCCGCGCCCAGCACTTTCTTCACGACCCAGGTCCCTAGGCTGGCTCTCTCTACCTCCCAGATCCGGTGCGTGCCTGCCCTCCTCTCCCTCCTCCTCAGCGCGCCATCGAACAGCATCCCCCTAACCTCGACACATGCAGCCCCGTTGGCACCGCGAAGCTCACGCCCGCCGAGGGCCAGTCCATCCTCGCCGCCCAGCGCCTCCAGCGCCCGACTTCTCCTCACCTGACTGCCTACCGCATCGACCAGACCTGGTTCGGCGCCTCCATCTGGACCCGTTTCACCGGCGGCGGCCTCTCCGCCGCCCTCTACGTCTACCTTGGCGCCTACGTCGCCGCGCCTCTGCTCGGCTGGCACATCGAGTCCGCCACCGTCGCCGCCGCCTTCGGGTGCCCTGCCTCTGGCCGTCAAGGGTGGAATCAAGTTCCTCGTCGCCTGGCCCTTCATGTTCCACTGCATCAACGGCGTCAGGGCATCTGACCTACGACCTCGGCCTCGGCTTTCGCGAAGAAAGCAGATCGCCCAGTACGGATGGATCGTTTGGGGCTCCCAGTCTCGTCGCTGGACTGTACACTGCTTTCCTGCTGTAATCACACCGGTATGAGGACGGGAACAACCGGGAAGAGCTGGTATGGAAGCCGAGACTGAGAGAGCGGAGGGACGGGCGGAGAAGGAGGAGGAGGAAGAAGAAGAAGAAAGACCTGAGATGAGCAGCTGCACGCACATCAGAGAAGCGGCGTTGAGAAAAGGAGGCGACGATATCAATAATGCAGTCGTCGCGGGGGGAGAGGAGGTACCCCAGGACTACGGGCCAATGTGTGTTATAGAAATCATATCTTCGACTTTGTATACCATGACCATGCCGTCCGTTTTTTACCAACCGTAACGCCATTTGCGCCTACCCGTCTTCGTCTTCACTCTAGTGTCGCACCCGCGAACTCCCACCCCCCACCCGGCTACTGGATCGTCCGCGCCTCAAGCACCTGCTCCACGAGCCTCTTGTTCCCCAAGCCGGCGATCCTTTCGCCGAGGATGGGCCCGATGAATTCCTTCAGCTCGGCCGTCTGCGTTGCCGCCGGCCCACCGTTGACGCCGTTCGCCCGGGCCCTGTCATCGGCCACGAGCGTCGCGATCGCCCGGACGATGCCACCCACGAGCAGCTCGAAGTCAAAGGCCCTCGCCCTTGTCCTTGAGCCGCTGCAGGACCTCGTCCGCTATACGCCCTGAGGTACTTGAGCACGAGCACGCGCACGGCCTCGGGCCCTCCGGCCGCCGCGAGCCCTGTGATGGCGCCGTAGTGCGCAGCCGGCAGCTTGTCCGGGTCCATGAAGAACTTGAGACACGTGCGGACGAGCTTGGGGCGGAGGAGATGGTTGGAGGCGGCGTAGCGCAGGGCAATCTTGCCGAGCAGCGAGGCCGAAAACTCGCGCAGCTCGTACTGGTCCTTCGTGGCGTCGTCGGCGCCCAGCTTGCGGCCGAGCAGGCAGGTGAGGACGGGCGCGGCGATGGCGTTGGCGTACGGGTCGAGGAACAGGTTTGTGTTCTCGATGAGAGCTCGGTGAG